CCGCAGAACATAACACACACAAACACGTATGACGATAATGTCACACTATTTTATCACCAAACAAGCAGTCAATATCACTCACGTGTACAACCTTCTAAAATAAACAACCAGCCCCTCACATTCTAACCTGCAAACACCGGCCCCAAATGGACCACACACGCACACTCTTACTGCATCTAAGGTCTCACCCCAACAGCATATATAACCAATATATGCCGGCCACCAAGTGGCCACACACGCAAACACATCACATCATCATATCGACACCCCAACACACCACAATCCCAGCAACTAACGACCACTGAATGGCCACATCGAAAATCGACAAATATCGGCCAACAGCCTCACACGCACCTGACTAGGTGAGCGCCTTATAGACCATTGAGTGGCCACACACACGCTACGTGCCACCACTCACCATACCGGCATACTGAAACCTGCAAGCATCGACTAAAGGCCTCATATCCCCACGCATCTACACAAATAGGTATCGACCAATGGATGGCCACCACTCCATCTACTTCCATTCCTATTTTTAAGTTTCTAATTTGTTTGACCTCATGTCACTCTCACCTCTCGGCTACACATAGATCCCCCTCCCAACGCTCTGTTCTTCCTTTCAACCAGTTCGTTCCCAACAATATAACCTACACAACTCTAACTCTGAATCTTCTCTACTCCTCTCTCTTTCACACTTTGTGTATCTCTACCTACTAGAACAACCGTTTATCTCTACAGTTCAATCGGCATGTTCTTTCTTCCTTCCTCAGGTTTCATTCTCCAACCACACCTTTACCTCAAAATCACCTCACCACTTTCTCTTCCCTACCTTTATGCACCTTAGCTAACCTAAAACACAAAAATACAAAATGCATTGCCATAAATAAGTTTGAAATTCCAAATTCTCCTTACCTCTTGCTTCCATATTCCTCTGTCTCACAAAATCTACTGCAAACTCACCTCCTCCAAGAACTTTTGGTCAATTGTCTCTCGCCCTAACTCGTTTCCTTCTTTTTCCTGCACACTCTCTATTTTTTCCCTTTTCTTTGTTTTCCTCTCTCTCTTGCTCACTCTCTGTTTTCTCTTTTCTTCCTTTTTCTTCTCTGCCCGATCTCCCCTTTTTATACCTAATCCAAGCCCAATCTTGACTCTTGAAATGCTCATCTAATCTCAGCTATCCATTCTACCCTCTCTTACTTATATATCTAAACTATTATAATTGAAGTTATATAACCATGAAGTGGAAATACTACGTAATCAAATTTTTATAAAAATAAGTTAATTAATTAATTAATTTCTATTTTTTATAAATAATTATTTATTAGAGTAACATTTCAAGTATTGTATTTTTGTATAGGAAAAAATATATTTATAACTATAAATTAAAATAATAAGTAAAGATTTCTAATAAACCCATTACAAAAGGTCATGCAAATATGTAACCTGAAAAAACTTACATAAAACTGCAAACCACATTTCATCCCAAAAGCACAATGTATTTACAACAAAATTCAAGGTGAATAATAAAGTATTGGATTGTTAGTAATTCTATCCCTCTTCTCGAAAATATGAATTCGAACCGAGAACTGTACATCTCTTATGCTAGAACTGACAAAGAAAAAAAAAATCGAAGTGATTAAAAATAAAAAAGATATTAAGATCAAACCCTACTACTTTCTCCGGTGGGTCGAAAGGCGAAATAAGTTGGTTTCTTGGCATGCATTCTCTCTCCTATAGCATAAAAGTCTAACAGATCTAATTTACCCTCTAAGCAATTTGGTTGTCTTCCTCCACAAAGCACAATTCGTACTAGAGTCATACTCTGGGAGATCCCGGATGAAAGATATGACTCGGCTGAGTTGAACTGAAATGCTGCCCGCTCTGAACCTAAACACAATCATTTATCCAAGAGCAAACTTAAAGGAATTGAATTTCTGCTGTAGTTGAATCACACTGATTCTCCACTAAAGCTGCATCTGGTTTATTTCTCATTCACGTAGTTCTAATTTTTATAGTAATTTTAATATGCATAACTAGAACATAATTTTCTGTGTTCGAGTTAACACCACCTCCATTGTCAATTTTTTTACTGGAGGAATTCTCACCTCGGGAGACAAGAACTGAATTCTCATATTGACATGTTCAAGATGAGATAGTGATAACCCACACAATAAATCATATTTTAATTATGTATATTAAAACTAATATAAAAACTAAAAAATAACTAGGAAAATGAATTAGATGCAACCTAATGATGGGGGAGAATAACTGTAGACTGACAACATTAATCTGATTGCAAGTCCCCAGACCTTACCCTGTTTGCTATAGAGCTGATAATTGCACAACTCAAATGGATGGTTCACGCAAACTCGCACTAATCAGAGCAGGAACTTTCTTGGTCTTCAGACTCGAGCTCCTTCACAATATTGTTCATTTTCTCAACTTTCAATGATAGTTGCTGACTGTGCTCCTCTATATATTTCAAGACCATCTGTAGCTGTTCCTGGTAAGCAGCAGATTTCTTTCTCTCACGATGCAACTCCGTAGATAATTCTCTGATCTTAAGATCTTTCTCATCCTGAAATATAAAAAAATGTATGAGACTAGGGGAGTAAAAAAAACTCAAGGGATTAGAAAAATTCTAAAACACAGAACTCTCAATATGCAGGAATGCTGCTACGGAGTAGATTACTGGGTGTTCTTATGATTTAATTAATACACCTCTACTTGACCTTTATGGCCATCATATCTAGGACTATTTTATAGCAGTTGACTTGAACCTCTATTTTTTTATGGGGAAAGAATGACATAACCATCACACAAAGCCTTCTGGTTATATCTAGGATGAAAGCAAATATGAAGAGGCTTCTGCTTCTGATCAGCTTTCTGGTTAGCTGTTGAATTCATTATATATACAAGGCCCAGGCCTATTCCTATCAGTTCACTAGCAGAGCACAGGGATTGACATGACAAGGCTTCATAACCAATTTCCAAAGGTTCATTGGTTTAATTGCATTTTTTCTCGAAACATGAATAACCAAATAACCACCTACTAGCAAAAAAGTAAAGCAAAACAGGAAGGAAAACATAAACAAATTCTCCTTCTATGCAACCAACTGCTGAACGTACTTTGAATTTAACAATGAAGCTTCACACGGAAATGATTTGAGAATGTTCTTATGAATGTGAATATACAACCAAGTTGCGGATGGATAAATTTTAACACAATTACTTTTAAAGACTTTAGATAATGACTGACTAATGTAGTTAGTAATCATTATAAGCTTGTAATAATGAAGCTTCACATATAAATCAATCTCAAAAAACCAGCCATGATTTAAATTCAGTTCCCAAGTTCTTCCTGAGGTCTTGGCCTCCATGTCCTTAGAATCAAATTAGCTCTACTTTTCCTCCCCAAATAATTCTACAAATATATATATACACACACATACAAACAAAGGGAACTTCAACAGTGCCTCAAAATATTTGCAGTACAGATACCTCATGACAATGTGATGCCATTACTAGCAACCATTTGTTGCTAGATTGCCGCATATAGCTATATTTGTTTACCATTGGTTATCAATGGTTGTCGTCTTTGGCTACTGCATGTGGCTATTTATGATTATCAATAGTTATTTATCGGATGTAGACCAACATTCATTGATCTTCCTCAAAAGGTGATTAACATATGAACAACAATACTAGATAGCCAAATGCGATAGATAATAAATGATAGCCAAGATGATAATCATTGATAACAGAAAAGGTAACAAAATATACCGAGTATCTTAACAGAGTATAACTACAAGTGATAATTTACCAACAGTAGATAGCCACATATCATGAGATACTGTTACCGCAAAATAATTTGAGGTACTGCAGAACTCCACATAAATGAATAGCAAACTATGAGCATTATCTTACAAAATTACTTACTTCAACCATACCTCACAGAAAGCAATCCTATGAGATCTTCGAGGTGGTATCTTACTAGGGTTCAGCTCATGATTATGTTCCTTGACAAAACCATAGATAACCCACTTTCCTCCACCCTTTGCGGCTATCCTCAGCATCGCATTGCATCCTTCTCTTGTGGCAGGCCGTGGTGAAGAAACTTTATTTTCCCTTTTTGCATGCTTTTCTGCACGAAAACCTTCTTTTGAGCAAACAAACTCTCGACCAATGATTGAGTTATCTTTAAGGGATCTTCGTGTACGATTATTCCGTATGGTAAATCCCATCTGCCTTCCATACATCTCATAAAACTCCCTGGCCTCCTCTGCTGATTCAAATTCCATTCCTATGATGGGTTCAGGAGATTCTGAAATTACAGAAAATCTCTGGCTGGATGGTCGAGTCACATTATCATTTCCATCCAAATTATCTGACAGGTCATCACCCGGAGTTTCATGGCCATCAAAGGTTTCAGCTAGCCATTGTCTATAGTTTCTGTTGGAACTAAATTCTTGTCCGGACGTGCTCGCCATTATAACCTTCTCAAAAATTAATATGGGATTAAGGCACAAGATCAAGCCATAATGTTGAGCCTAGATAAAACCTAAAGACAGATAAAATATTTTTCATATTAGAGTATCTACAGAAAATGGTACTTGTATGTAAAACAATCAGCAGCAATCTCTTTTTCATTGAGCTAAATGGGATTTGTAACATTAGATAATTATACAATTCCGGCATGTACCGAAATTGGAATCCGCTGTTTATTATCAAAATTACCAATTCAGACCATGTATATGAAAGGTGAGCGATGTGAAACTGCAGTAAATATAAAATCCAGAGATTTACACTTTCTAGTTTCAATAACTAAAATTTCACTAATTAGAGTAATTAATTGCTCAACAAAGCGCGCCAAAACTTACATATTAGACTCAATCCAAACCTGCATTCTTATAATTTAGAAAGAGAACCCTAATCAAACACTTACTATTCCTTCCCCCCAAAAACGAAATTATTTATGAAAAGACAATAGCTTTTCTATATTTTCCCTAATAAGAGTAATTCCAACCATTTTGCCGAGGAAATTAACTCAGACAGAGAGAAGAAAGTAGAGTTCAAAAAAAAAAAGAGAAAAATTAGATGAAATGAAGAGAACAATTGGTACCCGGAAGAAAATCTTCAAACCAAAACCTGCTGCATTATTCAAGAGAATCCTAAATGTTTCGGAATTCACTCTCCAAGAAGATCTTCATCTGCTCAAGCACACATTCCAACAGAAAGACAATCAACAAGTGTAAATAACTATACATTACACTATATTACACTGACGATAAAAGTGGAGCGCCATAGCAGGAAATTAGAACTCTCAAAACCCTAAAAGCTTTTAGAGACTAAACCGGTGTCATCTCAACCCATTTATCTCTCAAGGAAACTATATAAACAGGTTTTCGCATAACTTCCATTTGAGTATCAGGGAGAGCTCGGGGCTCCCTCCTGCCCCGCTTCTTTTTTCTGTCCTTTATTATTTTTCTTTAATAAAACGAAGGCCCTTTTAAATAATTAATTAAATTATTATTTTGTTAATTAAAATTAGATTTTGATAAAATTACTACATTTTATATTATTATCAATTATTTTAATTTTTTTATTACAACTAAATTTCTGAATGATAAATATTTTCATATTATTCTTATAGTAATTTATTAACTAAAATATTTATTATAATGAATATATGTGTTATTTTTACATCTAATTATAAAAAATAAAATAATGTATCATATTGTAAAAATTGTGATATAAAATGATCATATTAATACTTACAAATATTATATAAATTATCAAAAAATTATTGACAAGTGTGAACTTGATATAAATTTAACAAGTGTAATTTTTTCTCCTGAGTTTTTAATAATTGTATAGATAATCGGCTCTTTAACTAAATAAGAAACAGACGTAATCTCGATATAAATTAAGAAATTTAACTTCTAAAAAAAGAAAAACACATTAAAAAAACTTGGCTGATGACTTTGAATTACAAAACAAGATCAGAAATCTGCTATCTGCACATGATACATATGTATATATATCCATCTACCAAAATGCTTAAGTCCTATTGTTATTGTTGTTCAGTCTGGTTCTTCGATTCAATCTCCCTGATATTTTGAACTGCATTTTCAACAGTTCTTGATAGGCAACCAATATGTTCCTCGATATATGTCATCAACACACGTAGCTGCTCCCGACAAGTGTCCAAGAACTGATTTGCATGATGCAGCTCAGAAGAGAGTTCCTTGATTTTCATGTCTTTGTCATCCTGTCACATAAGAAAAAAGAAGTCAGAGATGATTTAGGCAGAGCTCAAAAAATCCACCTGAACTCAGTTTCCTCCTCTCCCTCCCCCCGCCCCGCCCCCCACAGTTGTCCGAGGAAAATTACTGGATTACCCGCATCATAACCATATAACTTCTCCCTTCTTGTTGCAGCCCAACCATACAATTCTCTTTTAGCAATACTTAATGCAGCACAAAAGTTGACTTGCCACACCTAGGGGATTGAAGACCTTCCTGCACACTAATACAGTCAAGAACTTGGCTCTGGTGAATGTGCATGGTGAGTTCCATTCAATCTTTTCAGGAGACCTCTTTTAGCTGGCAACTTCAGATAGTGCTTGGTGTAAATGCTAAGCTGGATATGGATTCAGTTTCAACTAAGGCAAAGTTTGGATGATCAAGTATTAAACAGAACATACAGAAGAGAATTTTCTTGTTTACAATCATATCCCTCAGCATTTCTATTTGTATCTTTAATAGACTTTCTACTTACTATTTATCATAGAGTTGGTTGACATATGTTTTCAAAAGTTTAAGGCTCCCTTCGATTTTGTAGTTTTTATTTTCCAACTTCAAATGTGTTTATGCATTTTTTATTCATGAAAGCAAGTAAGAGTTGTGTATTTGTGGAATCATCAATACACAATTAAAATCGTTACTTAGAAAACACTATAAACAACATTTTAAAACTTCCTAATCTCATCATCATTTTCATTATCATTCTCTTCATTGTTAACAAAATTTTATTAATGAAATATGTTTAAACTTAGAAAATAAAAACAAAAAGATGTTTTTATATATCAAATGGAACCTAAGTTTTCTGAAAGGGCTCAACTTTTATTATCTATATTCTAAAATCCTCCTACTTATTCATATTTGGGTCTCCTTTTCTTCAACTCTCATTCGTTCCCTAACTAATTCCTTATTCTAATTTTTATTGGGATCTTCATGTACATAATTACAACATAATATGTTTATCTTCAACCCCATCTTGAATTCTTTGAAAGTGAGAATAGCTCAGGTGCAACAAATTATTACAATCAAGACCACTATAAAAATTAGAACTACAATTCAAACAGAATGAAACAATAATTGATCCAAACAAACTGTTGTACTTATTCTTCAACATAACATATGCAGCTTGCTAGCTTTGCTTAACTTTTAATCCATCATAGATCAATGGCCATCTATTCATAAAACTGATCAATACACATCCTCTGTTCCTATTTGTTCATCATATGATGAATCTACAAGCACATTCCATGTATTAAACTGACCAGTCAAGATTAAATGGATACTGGAGTTCAAATTGATACTTGAGACTAAAGTGAAGTAGAACTTACCGAAGTTTGTCCACCATTTGTAGAAGAAACCAGAAGTGGATGATTATGATCCTTGACAAACTTGGTAACAATCCATTGCCCGGGCTTTTCTCTTTTCACTACTATCATTGCCATGCACCCTTCTCGTTTGCTCTCCTGCTTTCGAATCCGAATTTTCCCTCCGGTTTTACTGCTAAGATTAAATCCCTCCTTGTTACATGCTAGCCTGCGGGAGATTATTGATCCATCGCGCTCTGACTTCTGGGACGACACAATGCGCGTAAAAAATCCTACCTGTCTAGCATAGTCATCGTAGAATGCTTTGGCTGCTTGTTCTGAGTCAAATATCATACCTTGACATGGCTCTTGAGTTGTTTCAGTTTCACATGATGCACCTGATTCACCTCTTGTAGAGCTTGTTACAAACTTGTCTTCTATGAGGGTCTCCATACGGTAAATTTACTCAAGGCATCACAAACAACACTATCTGCAAATCATCCCAGTCAAGGGTGATCAATATGGCAACAAGATAGTAAGGCTACAATTATGAAATCATAGGCATGTAGATACATAAATTTACAGAAATATCAATACTAACACTATGTTCAGAACAGATGAAATTTGTCATGGAATTTGGAATATACTGTGCATCAATTCCACTAGTAATTATCTATCAATTCAACTTTTATCATGTTGGAAGAGATCTTCAACTTCTCCCAGTTAAAATAAGTAAGAACTTCCAAATGAATTCCACAAACATAGTATATTTGTTCTAAACACATTCCAAGATACTTGAGGAGAACCAGAAACAAAATAGAAACAGACAAAAACTTGTTTTTTTATCTTCCATCATGGAATTCTTAACAAAAAATAATACATCAAGCTTTCATAAAGTGATTGGTCAACAATGCATCCAATTATTTTGTTAAGTAATCTAGGTGATATGATATTAAATCACACAATGTATGTAAGGTACTCTTAACCTTAAAAAACTAATTCTTCTAACTAATACTCTTAAGTTCTAGCTTAAAAAAGTAGTACTTATAAGCCAGTATTCTCAAGCTTAAAAAAACTAGTTCTGTAAGTTCTAGCTTAAAAGACTAGTATTCATGGCTAATATTGTAAAATCTAGCTTAGTAAATATACCTTACTCGGAAAAAGCAGATTTTACGTTGAGGACTAGTAAAAGATAGAAAGATTTGAAGTTCAAGTTTTTAGCAATTTCTAGGCTGAACTCGTTTGGGATTTACTTTCCTTGGACATAATAAGGGGCGGAAGGAGCAAGAGTCTTGAAGTTTCAGTCATTTCTATTTTCCACAATTTTCTCGGGAAACAAACTAGGTAATCATGTTCCACTTGCAGAGGAAGCATAAAGCTGATGAATCAAATATATAGTTGTTTTAAACCTTACTCTGATATTCATTAACTAGATCGCTTAAAATGAAAGAGAAAATAAAGTAAACACAATCTCCTCTCCCTTTCTTCAATTTTCTCGACAACCAAACAGAGAATCAGAAAGAAAAAAGAAAATGGCGGCTAAGAGATAAGAAGACTTACAAGGAACTTTCAAACATATTCTTTTTTCGTTCTTTCGCTTGTAAAAGAGACACAATCTGATTCCACGAATCTTGAGCTCGTCTTTTCCGGGGAGCCAAACAGCCCCTGAAATGGAAAAATAATAAAAACTATTAAAACGAATGGATAAATATGAAATAATTCCATACGGGTGGTCCTATTTTATTGATCATCTTCTCACTAGTTTTTGACCGTTGGATCATAATATATTTCTAAAATGAATAAATATAATATCTTCGCCTCTCGTCTTTCTCCTCCTCTCGCTCTTTACAGTCTCACTCGCGCTGCCTCTCGTTTCCTCATCTGTTCAGCAGCTGCTCCCTGTGAGTTTCCCGTCACCGGCTGCTGTCGCCGGAATCGTATACCCGGCCGCCGACACCTCCACCTACTTGACTGAAGGTGATTAACCTCTTTCCGTCTCTCGTTAATCTTTTCTTTCTTTTCCTCTGCATCTCTCTCTCTCTCTCCTATAAACTCCTAAAGGCCTGTAAATTTGATCAATGGACTGTTTTATTTCACTTTGATCCCATTGAAATCTCTTGATTTTGGTATCCTCTGGTTCGAAAAGCTAATACCTCCTGTTGAATGTTCAAAGGTTGAAGATGGCTACCGGAACTGATTATTGCATCTGGTGAAGGTACAGATACTTACAGCTGACAAATTCATTTCATTTGGTTTGCATTTGAGGTGAGTACACTATCAGATATATTAATCATGGGATTAGCTCATGAACTTCTGTAAATGTTTCTTCAGTCGAGTTTATTGATATCAACTATATGAAATTATGAGGTAATTTGTTAATTTTTAAGCTTTTAAAAGATCAGCAATTCAAAATCTGTTACGTAAAACGTATCATAGCTTTAAGGCACTTACTATAACAATTATCCATAGTTAATGCTTTCTTTGTGCAAAATCCCATTAAGATCAAACTCCAATAGGTGGAATGAATGTCTTTGATCTAAATATACTAGTGATATACACATGCATTATCCCTTGCACATAAGGGGGAATGTAAAAGAATTGGTATGCAAAATTTTCTATGCTTATACATTAATTATCTTGTTTAGAATACGAAGTGAAACTCTTTCCAAATAGAGGTTTACGAAAGATCAAATTCTATCTCGGTAATAATAAGCTTGGTCTTGGCTCAAACTTCGACTATAGTATTATGATTTATTTAGTTTACTGTGTAAGACAAGAATGACTATGATTATGAGACAGAAATTTATTAAACTATTTGATTGACAGAACCATGTTTACATTGTAACTTTAGTTATTGGAAAAACTGTAATCCTAATTTATGGTTAGAGTTAATCAATGTATGTTCATATAAACACATTTTGTGTTTACAGGGTGTTGTTTTGGATCTGGAGTCTTGAAAATCCAAAAAAATGGCGCTTTCTATACAATTCCTTGTAGCCTCAACCAAACCCACCACTCTACATGCATCCATAGAGTTTAAAAAGTTACCAGGGGCTCCCCATTCTTTTCCATTGGTCTCCAAGATCAAGCCTCTTGCAATTAGGTCCGAAAGAAGCCGGTCAACAATAACCGAAGCTGTTGAAAAAAGTGGAGAAGGCACAGGACCTGAGGTTGAGGTTCAGTCAGGCGAAGAACCTGTGGCAAGCAGAGGAGCTAGTGATTCAGAGGCAGAGTTGACCGAAGTGGGAGCAGAGATAAAGAGGGTACTTGAGAAGAGAAAAGAAGAGAAAGAAGGAGATTTGCTTAGTGGAGTCGCAGAGGAGGTGAGGGAAATCGAGTGGCCTGCATTTGGCAAAGTCTTGGGAACCACTGGCGTCGTGCTTGGTGTGATTGCTGGATCGAGTATTGTTTTGCTCACCGTCAATGCCATTTTTGCTGAGCTCTCAGATCGGGTTTTTGCCAGCAAAGGCATTCAAGATTTTTTCAGTTGAGACACTTGTTCTACCCTCGACGCGCTGTTTTTATATAAATTTGTTAATCCGATTATCTCCCTCTTCTTTTCTGTAAGTGTGTTTTTGGTATGAATCTTGCCATTTGCATTTGGTTCATAAGATTCTTAGTCCATTCACAAACAAACTTTCATTGAAACCAAAGAAATTGTCCTTCGCATTAATAGATTTCCCTCTCAACAAAATTATAAGAAATTTTGAAGCAGTTAGCTTATAAAAACGAGATATTCAAATAAAAAGAACTATAATCTATTTATTGCACAATAAGAGCTTAATGTAAATTGACCAAAAATCCAAATCTACTGAAAGAAAAAGCTTGAGACCTAAAAAAATTTCACAGTAGTCAAAAAATCCACAAGTTCATCACTCTGTTTCCATGCTGTGAACTACAGAAGAGAAATGAACTTGGAAACTCCATTGCTTACTGTTAACCTAAGTATTACATCAATTAAAACATATAATTCCAAACATATAAAACTTGTCCCGCCTCCGATACACAATGTCCAATTATAATCTGCATTCAGCTTTAAGAATTTCTATCAAGTAGTATTTCTTACCATGTTTGGCCATCAGCAAGCAAACCAGCCACATCAAGAACTCCCGTAGCCTACGTGAAATGATTTAAAAAATCTTGTTGCCAGATTAAAGGAAGCAAGAAGAGCATATTCAAAAGCTTCTACCTAGAATGTATGCACACAAGTCGGGACCTTGGGGGGGTTTTGTAAGATAAGAAACAATTTCTAGAGGGGTCAATCTACCATGCCTTTACACAAAGCATCAAAATTATAACCATTGGGACTACGTTCCGGTAACAAGGAAGTTTTACAACGTTTTGGAAGTGTGGTAATTTCCTAACAATTCAACTAAGTAGTCGTCTAATTAATTCACAGTGTTATTTGACTACTACACAAAGTTACTAAATTACTCTCAAATGTTAGAGAAATAACCCGACATGTAATGCCACTAAGACACCGTCCTAGCACCCGCCAATAATAGCATCATAAAGAGTACAATACCAAAATGACTCGACTCTCGTACGGTCTCTTGTTATGGTCCTTAATCTGTTTTGACAGTAATTCTTAAAATCAAGTCTCATTTGTTCAACTAATTTAATAAGTTCAGATCTGTTTTCACTGAATCCAACAGTTAGCAACAATCGTCCCTTGATTTTGAACCAAGGCATGAATTTTCCATACTCAAACATATATTTCTAAATCGGAACTAAGTTTTCAGAAAATCGCATAAGCCTGTCTCATACTTGTTTCAATGACTTAAGAACCTAAAAATGTCAATCATATAGCATATAGCATGAGTGACTCGTATTAGAATAACAGAAAGGCTGCTGACCATGAGCCACTAAGAAGTACTTCTTTGAGCTTGGAAAAGTCTTAAGCCCTCCAAAAAGTAGTTCACAATATTAGAAAAACACATAATGGTTAGTCAATCAAAATAAATATCAATGAACTTACAAATCACAGCCAATAAAGAAGATATCCCTTTCTGATACAAAGCAATAAAGTTATTATTTTTCAACACCCAGAAGTAAAAAGTTTGGGAATTAACTCCCTGAATGAGCCAGAATTGAAATTTTCAAAATCGTTTCCTCACTTGGATAGGATTTCTCCACTTCATCCCATAAACTAATAGACTATTTTAATCTCAATTCTCACGGTCTTCACTGATCATTGTAGAGATCTATATACACACACAGACAGATGTATATAAGTATATAATGAACATAAAAGGTCATTCTCAAACACCCAAAGCTTGTATAAACTAGAAGCCACAACAATCTCAATCTTAACATGTAAAAAAATCACATCTATGGTTGAAACTGAAATAAAAAAGGATTCAAATAACAAAGTAAAGGAATACTACTTGTCGGTCTTCGTCTTGTTGTTCTTGTTGACCAACTCATCAGGGACAACTTTAAGGAGCTTCCTCTGCTTGGACTTAGCGATCTTCTTCAAGGTATTAGGGTTACTGATCTTCTGCAGCTTGGTGCCAGACCTCAGTATATTCTCCTGCTTCTTCTTCTCTCTCTCCTCCCTTTTCTTCCTCTTCTCAATCTTGTTGTTCCTAATCTCCTCCTTCAGTTCGTTCATTCTCTCCCTGTAAGCTCTCTTCAACTCCTTCTCCCTTTGACGCTGCTCGAGGCTCGTGCCCTTGCGGCTCACCTGAACCGCCGATGCGCGCTGCTTCTTCGGCTGCTTCCATTTCCGTCCCGAAACCTTCCCGGCGATCACGCCGTCGTAGGTCGGTTTGCCAAAAACTGGCTTGTTCGGGTCATCGGAGGAAGGTAAGGCGCTGCGTTTGGCGGGAGGGGGACACGCGTCATTGCCGTCGATTTCCATTGAGGCACCATTTTTGGGGTCACTGGTGGCGAGGTTGGCGGCGGCTTCTGCTTCTCGAGACTCGCGCTTCCGCTTGTAGGTTTTGCCGCCAAAGCCTTCGTCGAGGCACCTAAAATCGACGGTGCAGGCCATTTTTACGTTCTGCGGAGCTGGTCAGGACTTACGAACCCTAGGGTTTTAACAATTTATAGTATCACGGAAAAGAAAAAGAAAAAATAATTTTATAATGGGCTCAGCCAAAATAAAACCCGAGCCCAGGAACGATAATATCCAGCCCATTTTTTCTGTTTCATTAGGAAAAAAAACGTGGTCTTCCATGAAACTCCAAGCTTGGGAAAAAGCTTCCTTTGAAGCTTGCTTCAGGCCGATCAGGAAGCAGAGGCAGAGACCCTAACATCCTCGGATCGTTCTTCTGTTCTTTGTACCAAAATGGAACCCGCAGATTCCGTATTCACCTACCTCGCGTGAATCAAAGGAAGAGGCTAAACGAGCAGAAACCTCAAGGAAGCAGAAGACGTCTAACCGGAACAAGAGGTAAAGCTTGAATTGGGAAGAAACCGGAGATCAAGTGCTCTGACCGAGTAAAAGCAAGGTGTCATTGACAGGTTTTGGGAGCCCAGATTCAGAGAAGCAGTAGCACAGAAGCAGAGAGCTAAGAGACGTTGAAAAAGAAGCTAATAGATTAGGGTTTTGATTAAGAGGAATTTTCTGGGTTGGAAAGAGGGAGGAGTCTTTCAGAGGAAACCAAAAAGGGTCTAGAATCTTCAGGATTATTGAAGAAGAAGGTTTATGGGAAAGGGTATCATCTATTGCCCTTCTGCATTTCCTTTATATGTTTCCATTTCAAGACGCTGGAATTGATTTGGTGATTATTGGATGAATTTATGCATTTTTTGCTATCCAGGAAACTCTTCTCATTTTAGAGTAGCATGTGCAAATGTCAATCCTCATTTTCTTTTTTTCCTAAGTGTCCTGCTATGGTTGGTTGAATTGAACACAGAGAAATTTGAGCTCTTCCTTGAATTTGGTGATTGTTCTTCTTTCATTTTTTTTATGGTTTTAAGTTGAATGTTCTCTTTTTAAATGCAAACTATCTCCCATGAAATTAGGCAACCTTGGTTGTCTTTGACTACGGCCTTATGTTCCAGTTTTTTGGTTAAGGGTCATCTGCTTTATTCAAGCGATGATTTAGGGGACTAGTTGACATTTTGTTCTGCATGCCCTTTTACTTCTCTTATTGTCTTTAATCATGTATGCATTTATATTTCATCCCCCTACTTGGACTTGTAAAAATTGTTGAGTTATTATAAATAATGAGTGTCAAAATCACATACATGCTGCCTAGGTTGGACACCGATAAATTCATGGAAAATATTTCTTTAGTATACAACATGGTATGTGCCTCAAACTTCGGTATCCTATACAATTTCGGACTATGGTTTTCTGATCATGACCATTATATGTGTTTTTGGCATCTGATCCCGCATTCAATAGAATCAATGGCAACTTCATAGTTTTATTAAATGCTAGCTTGGACACCAATAAGTTCATGGAAATAGTCTTTTTAATACACCACATTGTATGTGCCGCAAACTTTTCTATCTTCTACAATTTTGAACTATGATTTTCTGATAATTAGCATAAATGTGTTTTTGGCATCTGATTTTGTTTAGGATCAGTGGTGATTTCATAATTTTATTAAATGCTTTCCGAGTGTTTCTGTTTCATGGTTGCTGCAATATTAATTAAACAGGTGTTACATTCTGTAGGAACACTGATGCCAGAGACAGGCAGTGGAAATGATTATCTTGATGGTGACAGGATCTCAGATGATGAAGCTTATGATGCTTTTGTTAAGCCTGAAGCAAATGCACATGAACCACCAGGGATTAATGACTCAGGAAGAGGTTTGAGTACAGGAGATTATGAAATTTTAGAACCAAGAACTGGGATGACCTTTTTGTCATTGGATGATGCAAGGGATTTCTATTATGAATATGCCAAGCGCACAGGCTTTACTCTAAGGACAAATAGAATACGGCACTCATTAAAGAACATGGCTATAATTGGTCGTGATTTTGTTTGTTCTAGAGAAGGTTTTCGTGCTGCAAAGCATATGCTTAGAAAAGACAGGGTTCTTCCCCCTCGTCCAGTTACAAGAGAAGGGTGCAAAGCTATGATTAGGTTAGCAGCGCGAGATGGAGGTACTTGGATTGTCACCAAATTCGTACGAGAGCACAACCATAAGCTAATGAATAATTGTAAATTTCCTGGAGAACTGCCTATAGTAAATATACTCAGTGAGGTATGTTCAAATTACTTGGCAAAAAATAGTATTAATTTCTTGTCTGATTATTTTTACTGGTGTGAGTCAGATTTAGGCACTGCAGAACTCTTCTTGTGGATCTTACTTTATTACTTATGCCCATAGGATGGTTGGAAAATAAAATAACAAAGATAGTAATAACGGAATTTGACTTAATTCCCAGCATTTGTTGTTACAGCATGTTATTCAATTTAGAGGGAGGAAAAGCTGAAGACCTTGTTCCCCTACAATAGAAGGACAGTATTAAGACATAGAAAAATGATTTTGTCTTACAGATATACCTTGATTTGCTATTAATGGATGTGCTATTACATTATTATTAATAGCTTCATAGGAATCTGAATTGACTTGTAATATTCATCCAGTAAGATTTGAATCAGTCCATGAGAATGACATACCATGTTATATAAAATAATTTTTCAAAAGAATAATATGTATGTTAGGTACGTACAGATTCCAATGGGTTGAGCTATTTTAACATTTCTCTAAAATTTCTTTCTGCTACTTTTCTTTCCTGTTATAGATGCTCGGGGTCAGGTAGGTGGAAAGCTACACGTCCATGTACCCCTCTCTTTTTACAGATCCCTTTTAGTCTCCAAGATACGAGGTTGGCATTAAAAAAACTAGTGAATTTTTTAGTGAAGTGGCTTTTTTTTTGTTTTGGAGTAACATATGGTGTTCTTGTTTGCACATGTCTCGACTATTCCAAGAAGTGATATCTTGCATGACACGATAGCTATACTTAGTTGTATACAAAGATTGTGTCCAAAGCTTGAAATACATGGGAACAGTTGTTGTGAGGATTTGTTTTTGGATTCTATGCAGGAAGAGAAGGATAAGAAAATACAGGAATTATATGATGAACTACAGTGTGAAAGAGAAAGATGTGCAGCATTCCGGCAACAGTTGCACACAATCCTCAAAGATCTTGAAGAACATGCTGACTTCATGTCTATAAGAGTTGAAGACATAGTCAACAGCTTGAAAGAAATTGAACTTGATGGTCTATAGGGTTCGAAGATGATTTGCATTACCAGATGGTAATTGAGGCCAAGTTACCAATGTTGCTAGTAGAGCATCAAGTTCATTACTCCAGATGTCTACTGAAGTTGAAAATTTTCATCAGCATTTGGGAGATAATAGTGACAGGTTCACCTGGGGGATCTGTTTATCAGTTGTCCATCCAATTGAATAACTGGATGATGGAGCAATCAAAGATAAAGATGATTTATCTCTTCTTTTGCAAGTGTGTGCATGGTAGTGGGCTTGCAATGTTTCTGTCTGCACATTTCGAGCGAACATGAACGTGTTTTTCTTGGTTCATTTGCATTTGGTTTTCTCTCGTCCATTCGAATGCAGCATGCTAAGCTGCAGCAGGATTGCAATTGGTTAATCCGTTAAAAGTTGTCTTTCGCAGCATTAAGTATTATAGCCGGGATTCATGTCTTGCCTTCATATTACACTCTTATGTAAAGATTACATAAACTTTATTTGATAACGTGATAATTTCTTTGGAAACAGTAATTTTTAGCAGATTTTGTTTATGGTTCAGCAATTTTTTAAAAGAATAGAATATAGTAGTTGTTTGTGCTACTTCTCAATTAGTTTTTGTCTATAGTTAAGCTTTAAATTAAATTGAAGGAATGAATATTCTTATATCACGGCACGAGTAAGAACTTAGTTTAAATATAATCAACAAGAGAATGTACTGCATGTAAGTTTCCTAATATTGATACCGATACTTACGATAAAGTCAACTTTTATGCCTTCTTCGACAAATTAAATAAGTGACAAATTGTGGTCCGCATATGGACTTTTATATCACATACTCTCAGCAAAAATTAGTATAATTTTTAATTTAGAAAACTCTTTTTAAATGGGTTAAAGATTGAATTCAAGTCATTATCTCCGTAGTAAAAATATAATATCAAATACGACCAGATATATTTATTGATCAATTAATGGTTTGAGACACATGGTACCACTTTGGATTATCATTTTTGACGAATGAATGAAATTCAAGTCATATCTACTCCAAGTTTTCACTCAACACTAAAAAGACGATCGCCTCAAGCAACAAATTTATTAATTCCCTAAAACATTATTATTCTTTCACCCTTTTATGTGAATTCGTTATAATAATCGTTATCAATTAATTACTAAAAAATTTTAGATAAAATCTTTTAAATTTATATAAAAATCTAATAACTTAAAACATGACAGAAATATTTTTGTGTTATTAGGAGGACTTGACTCACTAACATATTAGTAATAAATAACCAAGTTTGGACGAAAACTTAACTTATAAGTAATATGTAACTTATAAGTTTAAAATTTATTTGAAATCTTTATCGGTACAATAAAAATGCTGACCTTCACAAATTCGAACTCGATACAATAGAGATAACTTTTAACATAAAATAATTATGGATTCATTTCTAATAGTGCAAATTTGTTTTACTATTTAAGATTTTATGAAGTATAATATCTCTAACATTCCAAGAACTTAAATTTCTTTTGGAACCAATCAAGTAGTTTACTTAATTGAGAAAATGTAGTAGTGAGAATTTTGTTCTAAAAATAATTTGGTCAATCATAGAAAAAAAATAGAAACCAGATAATCATTCACACAAACACACCCCCCCCAAAAAAAAAATAAGGACAATATGAAAATGGGGATTGTAAGAAAATTGAACCAAGCATACACAACAGATCAAAAGCAAAAGAATCCCCACAAAACAAGAAAACACATACTTTCTTTTTGCCTTTCGGAAGCCGAGTTGTTACCACCACCGTCTCCCCTTCTGCAATCAACCCTTCACTTCCCTTTCCCCCGCTTCCCACCCTCCCCCCGGCAAACACGCGTCAAAAAATCACTGGCTGGACTCGAGGGTTAGGGGGATTCTGACCTACACATGTTACCCCTGATCTGTCCACTATTGCGCTTGCACTTGGCACACCAATGCCTTTCTAAAACAAACCAGATGAAAAATGGTCATCCTCTTTTTTTTTTTTTTTTTTGTCAAAAAAATGGTTCACCTCTTTTTTCTTCTTCCTCTTCCTCCAGAGATTCTATGTACATACCACAAGTTTTTTCGCGTGTGTGTTTTTTCAATGAATAAAAAAACTCTGTTTGCTCCTAAGCCAAACACCCTTTAAATTTTTAACTCAAAGCACTGAATCCGCCCCCTTTCATCATCTGCCTAAACTCTTTGTAATTAACCATCCCATCACCATCTTCGTCAACCTGCATGATCATCTTCTTGCAGTCCTCCACGGTCTTGCCTTGCTTAAGCCCAAGCGAGGCTAACACGGACTTCAACTCGTCGACGGTGATAAACCCATCTCCGTTCTGATCGAACACGTTGAACGCCTCCCTCATGTCCTCCTCCTCGTCGTGCTCGTCCATGATCGATTTGTACAAGGAACCGAACTCGTCGATATCCACGCACCCATCTCCGTTCACGTCGATTTTCTCGATCATCTGGGCTAACTCTTTGTCGGGTATGAAGATACCCAGGTTCTCTAACGAGTCGTTGAGCTCCTTCTTCGTGATTCTACCGTCGCCGTTTTTGTCGAACATCTGGAATACACGTTTCAGCTCAGCGGAGTCCATTCGCTTAAGCCCAGAAACGGAGGACGGGGACGGAGACGGAGACTTAGAGGAGGAGTCGAGAACGAGGTTGGGCTGCTGCTGCTGCTGGTGGTGGTGGTGGTGGGGGTGGGGGTGGGGGTACCAGGAGGGAGGGAGGAAGCCTCTTAGCTTTTTGGGAATCAAGTAGAGAAGGATTGAATTAAGAAGATTGTAAACGAGGAAAATCCTCAGCAAAATAGTTGGCATTTGTAAAAGGTATTAAAGTTATAAGAAGCAGAGACAGAAATAGAAAGAGTGTCACAGCCAGCTAGTCTCTCTTTCTTTCTGGTTTCCTGCGGTGGGAGTTTCTTGAGTATGGAGAGAAAATTGGAGAGAAAGTTGGGCAGCTTTAAAAAGGAGAAGTTAAAACAGAGAAGAACGGGAAATCAAGTGTGGGTTGCAGCAGATCCATGATTGAAGGGGGGGGGGGAGAAAAAGAAAACATTTATAGCTGGCTTGCTTGTCTAATAATTTTCCTCTCGGAACACACTTGGGTGATCTTCTCCACTTACCTGTTAATGTTTTTTTTTTCATTAAACTAATTACTAATTTAATCAAAATTATATTATAAATTGGTTGAGAAAAATTAGAATCCTTTCACATAATAATTTATTTATATAGTTAAATTAAATTAATTAAATAATATAAATAATTTCTATAAAAAAAAATAATAATAACACGTATAAACATACAATTCAACTTCCGACTTTTAACGCACATAAAATTACAATTCTACTTCGACTTTCACACCCCCCCGAGCATTTTCAATTTTAATTAAATAAAAGGCTTCGTCTTTTGGTATACGCGTCTGCCAGAAGACTAGTAGGAGAATATTAGTTTAACAAATCGAAAGACGCGTTATCTCGTGACATAAATAATTATTATCTTGAATTTAAAAATAAAAAAATAAAAAATAAAAAATAAAAAAACTGAACTGTTCTCTTTTTTTTATCCGAGAAATTTTTTAAAAAAACTAGACCGTTAATAACGGATCTGAAATTAAAGAGGCGTTAGGAATTAAAGGGGAAAAAAAAAAAAACGCGCCAAGAGACAACGGCCGGTTGATAACGACCGTTGGGTACTCCCAACGGCTATTGTCGCGTGATTGGTGGTCTCGAGCTTTCTAGGTGTGGGTTTGGTGTTTGCCTTTTGGACTTCTTCTTTAATACAATAATGATTGTTTTTAACCTTGTTTTCTTAAATATGTCACCGAATGAGTATCACGAGGGGTCCGAAATAATTATTTCCAGCATGTCAGAAAAGGCTAATTGCTTAGCAAGAGTGGACTTGTAGCCAAACTAGTTTTGATATTCCAATATGTCCGATTAATAAATTCAAAATACGAAATAATATCACTTACTAGTTATGTTATTATTATAAACTTTTTTATAAATAAGATGTTATTTTTAATTATTTTTAGAGCATGATGTTTTAATAAGATAAAATTTTATTTGAATCCACAAATAAACTAAATTCTGAGTGCATTTTCTAAAGAAAAAGGGTAAAAAAAAAATATATTTAATTGTAAGAAAAATATTTTTTTAATAAATAAGTCACTTATTGATCTTTCAACCACTCATATTATTGTAATTAACTAACAGTGCTCTTAAGAAAATAAATAAATATGAAAGAAGAATAATTAATAATAATAATCAAATATGAAAAATCAATATTAAAAGCCTTTGCCATTAATTTCCAGGCTCAGTCCAGCTAAGTCCACTGTGAAGGACCACTATTAGGGACTTATTGCCCTTAAACATGTTTTTGCCTGCTTGCATGATCATGTGAAAACCCACAGAAACCCGGCCCCACCTATTTCACAAAAAAAAATGGTTAGTACTAGTCTCCCAGTCCCAGCGATTATTTAAAATTTAATTCAAATTTTTATTTAACATAAAATTAATATACATTACATTGTATTTAAAAAAAAAATTATTGATTACACAACACGGCTTCTTCTCTTTTTTCCAAAGTTTTCTTCTTCAACCACTGTTAGTTATGTTGAAGCGTCACAACTCGTTGCAGGTCGTCCGTCAAGTATTTCAATTCATATGATTTGGTAATATGTATAGCAAATTAATAAATTAATTTTTAAATTTTAATAATTATTATAATTTAATCTTAATTTTTTCACTATAATCTAGTTTCTAAAATTATTCACTTTTTTTAAATGTATATTTTATTTTTAATAGAAAAAATAAAAATCATTAAAATATATTTAAATACTTTAATTTTTTTGAAAGAACATTTAAATATAATTCAAATATTTTAATTTTTAATCTTAAAAAAATTAGATGTCTAAGACAAATGAGAAAAACATCTGGTATCTACTACGCTAGCAAAGCTTTCATCATCTAAACGCGTCTTGCAGGAAATTTAAGCCATTTGAGAAAGTTGTGTCTTGGACATGAAGATTCTTAATTCATGGGTTTAAGTTAACGATGAGTTGACAAATTCACTCTAACGCTCCACAAAGAAGAGACAGACGTGAATAAAGTATTGAAATAATGATCATACATTTGTTTTGATTAAAATTAGTCATATATAAACAAAGAGTATATTATAGTTTTCTACGCAGCCTGCTCTCTCTATTATATATAACTATCTAACTATGTCAAAATATTAATATTTATTATAAAGACTATAAAATTTTATGCCGTCCAACGTAAATAGTGGATATATTTGTTTTTTAAAAAAAATAAATTGGGTAAGTTTAGGATATGTGACACGTAATCTCGATAAATAATAATGATTATTTTAATTATTCCTTTAAAAAATATGAGAATTCTAAGCTTAAGGAGAAATACTGAAAGATAGGTAGAAATTTCTTACCAGTTCGCAAGATATGAAAGATCTATGGGGAGGCAAAATATTTTTTTGATCCTTGTAGATCTGGAACAAGAGATTCTTCCTGAGGCAGATTGAAGGCAAATCTGTCAAAAAAAAAAAGCAAAGAAATCTAATAGTGAAAAACAATATAAAATGAATGAGACGAAGAAACCCTAATAAGATTAACCAGTTTTTTTTTCTAGATTCTTAAATCGTAGCAGTTAAAATGCAAATATTTATATATATAAAATAAATCGAACATTTGTACGATTACTTTAACGACTCCGAAAATTCAAAAGAAAATATATAATAACTTAAGTGCGAAAGCGAAATAAAATTTTAAAATTTACATTACTTACACAATAATTTAAAAGTAATGAACAGCATTACGGAATTAATTTTTTAAAAGAAACAAGAGAAATAAAGAAACAAATGGCAAATAGAAAATATCTAATATCTACTCGCAATCTTCTTGCGGATCAGACTCTGAAACCTGGTACTCTTGATCTGAAATAGTTAAATAAAGGATGAACTACACTAACCCAGTAAAAATATCACACTATATCGCCGACACAGAAACAAAAGTTGGTATAAAATCGAAAATCACTAATGGAGCATTAAATTTAGTAAATTCATTTATCAATCATAAAATCATTTCTCGTTCATTTATCATAATAGAATTTATGAAAACAACTTATAAAAACAATAATACCATATAGATCATAACTTCATGAACAATCAACAACATAGAACTTATTATAAATCCATATCCATTAACAATAAACCAAACCATAATTGTTTCTCTTTCACCAGCCTACTAGTATCCATGGGGGTTCATAGAGATGTTCCCGCCACACGTGAACTCTTTCCTTTAACAATCTCAATTACATAGTCGTCTCCATACCCCGTCCGGTATGAACGCCAAAACATTAAACTTCAATACCCTGTCTGATATGAGGGTGAAGCGGACCGTCCTCATATCCTGTTCGGTATGAGTGCCAAATTATTCAGTCTTCATACCCCGGTCCGGTATGAGACCGTTCACGGTAGGGTTCCTTATGTACCCGGTTCGTACACCATCTCCCAAAATATCTGATAAGACTGTCGTTCCATCTGTTTATTTAATCACACCACTTTTCCATTTTCCTTTAGTCTCAATTTCCAAATCAAACATAATCACATAAGCAAATAAACATGCATCAAGTAATACAATCATGTCTTAAATCCTAAATCAAACAGTAGTAATGTAAGACAGCAATTCATGCATTCAAATCATAAAATAAATCGATAAGACACTATCATACTTTTAGACTGTAAAATACATCAACATATATTAACAGAGAACAATTTCTGGTTCGGCCTCCATTAGCAATCAGTAATTAATTATGCATGTCTACTAAAATCGCACAAAATACCACATTATTATATATTTAAACTTCAATTCTATGATAGAGAATAGAGTGAGTGGTCCTTACTTGATTTGACGTCAAAAAGCTAAACGGTTCATTGCGCCTACGGACGATCCCTAAATTCCCTAAATTTTTCTCCGAGAACTGAAATGCGCTTATAGTACCTATAAATGTTCCAAATAAATCTAAAATCAGTCTTAGGGCCCACTCGGGCAGTTTTGAAAATCCAGCACAGCGGCTCCGCCGTGCTCCGGCAACAGCGATCCGCCTCGGGTTGACAATTTTCAGCCATTTTCAGTCAAATTCAGTTGATTTTGCATCAATCCCTGTGAGAAAACACACTTAAGGGTCTCGGTTAGCAAAAAAAAAACACAAATCCAAAACTCACCGACGACGCACTCCGGTGCGATGGCTCCTCCGACTCATGTTGCGGTTGGATATTTTGCTCTGGTTAACCTGTAAAGAAAAGAACGATGATCACAACGGTGAAAATATTACGCCGAACGGGAATCGAAAAGGACCTCATCAGAGACATTTTGTAAAATTTTCCACAATGGCGCTGTTGGGTTTCGCCGGTGTTTTTCGACAAATTAGCCGATCTTTTCACTCCGATTTGGCCATGAGTGAGCTTAAAATTGAATTTCGTGCAAAAAAAAAAAGTTTTTACCTTTTTTGGTGGTCGGAAGGGTTCCGGTGCGGCGACGGTGGCGGCAGTTGGCTCCCAGCAACTGGGTCGTCTTC